AATCTATAAACATTGAATAAATAAATTCTTAAATCAAATTTTACATTTAATTCAATGAATTTTATAGTACTAAATATTTTCTTAATACTGCCAAGTGAAATATAAATCCCCCCTCCTTCTACCACTGATAATTAGAATATTAACTAAATTTAAGTATTTGATATACAACCAGCTTAAAAATATGCATAGCATTAAAATAATTCCATCAAAACTTTTTCAGGAAGTAAAATGAATTTTTACGATTTTCTCAATGATACGATTTTTTTAATGATATGGTTTTCTTAATGATATGATTCTCTTAATAATTTCTTAATTCCTTCTATCATTGATAATTCTTGAATGTATCAAATATCAATAGTTACAGTTGGAATCAAATTTGAGTTAGAAATTAAATTTTTCCAGAAATTTTACACATATGCACATTTAATAAGCCAAGTATATTATTTAGTCATGAAAATAAAGACTAATATTAATAACTCAGTCAAGCTATCCCTAGCAAAGAGTCAATTTCCAGCCACTGATATGTTAAATTTAGAAGTTTTTAAAATATGTTCTTTGAAGAGAGAGAGAGCATACCAGTAACGCACAGGCGTTTTTGAGGGCGGGATTACCGAGTAGAAAAGCCAATACCAACGAGTCCAAACGCACTCTTTCTGGGTTTCGTTCGAATCATATAGAGAAAATCTTGCTGTTTGGAGTTCCGGCTTGGAAATCGAAAACAGCAATGTCGCATACTTTGCATATTTTTGTTGCGGGGATTACATTGTTGATAATGATTTATTGGCTATTTTTAATGTAAGTTGATATTTTGATTAATAATTTTCAATTAGTTCCTACTAATATCTCAAAATGCAATTAATTGTAATTTTTTTAAAGTAAATTTTTTTTTCTTTAAAAATTTAGAATTTAAATAATTATGTGCGCGAATTTTATAATTCTGTATGTAAGTAAGTTATTATTCAACAAAAAGAGGTTTTATATATATATATTTACAGAACATTTAAATTGATCTCACTTTAACGGATTTTCAGTAGATAGTAAATTTATATATTACTTTCATTAACTGAAGCAATTTCTCTCTGTTTAATTTATTCAGAAATGTAAAGAGAGTAAATGTGTTGATTAAGATTAATTTGACTGAGCCATAATCTTTTTTATGATGCTGTTCATATACGTTCCTCAAAGCTATTTAAAAAAATTAAATATACATCAGTATTACTTAAAGTAAATTGATAATTTGTTCCAGTCTTTTGGAAGAATAATTTGCAGAGGTTTACTGAATTGATAATAAATAAAAAGCAATACAATGTGTCCAAAAGTAAATAGTATTAAATACTTACTTTCTTGGAGTGCGCTCGTACACGCACGCACACTACTAAAATAAATTTTTCTGAAAAAAAATATTGCGAACTGTTTGTTATATACCTTAAAATCTGGCATATAACATTCATTTTTAACACAAACAAGTAATATAAATTTTTTTTAACTCAATTCCTACTTAGGTCAGCAAAGAAAAATTTTATTTTAGTTACTTTATTAAATAGTTACAACAATTAGTATAAATATGTATGTACAGATGACAGAATCACAATATTAAGTGATAAAATAGGAAGCGTTTTTCCTTGCCATTTTCCTTTCTATATAGAGTGTTGGACTATTTTTTCTTGTTTGTTACTATTTATTCATTAATTAAATTTAATTATTCTAATAAAATAGTATATAGTAAAAGGAAATTACATTATCAAAAATCATCATCTCTCGTGGTAATTGAACACCCACGACTTTTGGATTAGAAGTCCAACGCGCTATTCATTGCGCTACAGGAACACAAGGAATGATTTTCCTTTCTGTATATGATGTTAGACTATTATTTTGTTTGTTACTACTTATTCATTTTTTAATTTAATTAATGAATTAATATTTGAAAAAAAATTTATTAATTTCAAGTGTCATCCACTACAAATTCAAAAAAAAATGTATTTGAAACTTGAATGGATGAATAGAAAGTATTTTATTAACGATTGAAAATTTAAACGATATATATATATATATATACTAGCTGTACCCTGCCACGCTTTGCTGTGGCTCAGTCTGGTTAAAGAGAAAACACGTTTTCGGTATATTTAAACATTTGTATTGGAAGTATGATTTTTTTTAATAAAAAAAATGTAAATATATTTACACAAAACTTTCCTTAGCTGATATCATTTGTAATTTTTAAACCAAATATTTGTAGTTATTACAGTTTATTTTTGTTCTTATGCTATGAACCTAAACTTATTTACATTGCCTTCATAGTGGAGACTTCAAGTTTGTAGATAAATTTTAAATGGCTCCACTCTGGATTCCTCGAGGGCAATGAGTTAGTTTTACAGAGCTTATGAATACTTCTGTTAAATCAGAGGTATGTTCACAAATGCACATTTTTACAAACTGTCATTTGGAAGCATGAATTGTATTTCCTGATGTTATATAGGAAATGTTTTGATTCCATAGTATATCTGGCAGGCAAGGTTTTTAATGGCTCAGGTGGTTCTCCAAGTAGAGGCAATTTAATTTTTTCAGCGGTACAAAACATTCCTTTTGTTTCTCCCTTAAATTTTAGTAAATTGCAATAAGGATACACTTTATTCATTGTGCTGATGAGAACATGCTGGCTCAACCTATAATCTTCCACTAAGTTGTAACAGAATGAAAGGTGATTGTTATTGTGTAATGCTCAACACAGTCATGTTTGAGACTGATGTGCTGTTTCTGGTTAGACATCATTCAACCATTTGCAACCTACTGTATTCCTTTTGCTGAGAGCAAAGCAGATCTGATGTAGCAAAACACGAATATTTGTCTCGCAAATGTGCATCCTTAAATCAGGCTGCATGTTACTCTGCTGCGCCCTCAGCATGCATTTATGTCATTCTTTGTCTGTTTTTCTCCTTTGTAAAATAAAATAAAAATATTAACATAGAAAAAAAATCAGACTTCTACATTTGCCGGAATACTACTTATTTAAAAGAAATGACATTCCTTTTTAACTTAAAAGATTATAGTTCTAGAAAAATACTATTTTTTAAAATAAAGTTTGGAATAATACCTCGAATAAATGATTTTAAAACAGAAGACCATTGCGCACACACATATAAAATTTCTTCGCAAAAAAAGGGGGTGCGTGTTATACGGCGAATATAGCTAAAAGTTAGAAATTTCTGCTTGAATGTATAGGTGTGCGTTATACGCCAGATTTTACGGTGCTATAAGAAATCATCATAGATTTAATAAAGGTCTTGTTTTGTTTCATAGACTATTGTTAAATTTGTCGTAGCTCAAAATCTTCTGGGTGGTATAGGGGAGAAAATTGGAGAGTATGAAGCCACCTCACATGTCATATTCGTGTCTTGACTGAGGTTCAAAATTATGAAGTGGCCGCAGTAGCCGAGTGGTATAGGTATCGGACCGTGGCTTGCATTGTCACGAGTTCGAGCCCAGTACCACTAAAGACCCGCCGTGTAGGGCAGCGATGCACGTTAAATCTGTTGAGAGCTGAAACGTCCTTCCGTTGGTGTGGTGTGATAGTTAGAAGAGGGGGTGCCAGCTCAGGTGTCGTCCAAGTCACTTGACCATGGTTCAAAATTACGTGGTCCGTCGCCAAAAGCCCTCGAGTAGCTGAACAGTGCGACGTTAATATTCTATCAATCAATCAATCAAAATTATGAAGGCCGTCGCTAATAGCTCCGGTGTTGTGAAAGAGTGCCTCATTAATTTTTTGATCAAATCAAAATTTCGTAGACCATGTAAATGCCCATTTAAAATCTATATATTCTTTTTTTAAAAAATAATCTCTCTTTACAAACTTTCAGATTGATATCTTACGGTACTTAAAAATGTTAAAGAATAAGATTACAATCTGAGTAACTTCGTTTTTCTCTTGAATTTCAAATATATGGCCTAAATGGTACTGCACCTTTTCCCGATGGAAAATTTGATGTGATAATTAATGCGACATATTTCTTGTTCTCGAGAAGGGGAGGGAAAAACTACGTCTCATATTATCAAAGAAATATAAAATATTCTAATGAATATTGTTACTAGGAATTAAAAAATTACTTCGCAAAAAAGAGCTAAAAATTACTTTACAATAAGCATTTTATAATTCATTATAAATATTTTATGTGTGATTATTCACAGATTATACACTTCTTATTACCGTAAAATTCCTCGTATAACGCGCACCACCGTATAACGTTCATCTATACTTTCAAGATGTAATTTTTAATTTTTAGGTATATTCGCCGTATAACGTGCTCCCCCTTTTTTTACGAAGAAACCTGGAATGTACGTGTGTAATGCTCTTATGTTCTGAAGTCATTTATTAGAGATATTATTCAAAGCTTTAGAAAAAAATAGAATATTTCTAGAACTAGAGAACCCCCATTAAGTTTATCAGGAGTGTGTCATTTCTTTTAAATAAACACTATTCCGATATATGTAGAAGCCCAATTTTTTTCTATGATCATCTTTCTTTTTTCAATTTTTAAAGCTCTAATTTTTATACCCGACGTATAACGCACATCCGTAAATTTTGATCTTATTCTTTGTGTTAAAAGTGCGCGTCTTACGCCAGATTTTACGGTAAATGTCTTTACATACGCTGGTTTCAAATAGAATCTCTGACAATAAAGTTCGGTGAATGAAGTCAGAACGGCCGATCTGGCAACACTGGAGAAACAAAATGCAGCACATGCATAGTGGCAGGTGTTGACTATCTTCCCTCCCCCCCCGTTGTTCATTTGAGCGTCGTTTGTGTTCCGTGTAAGACTTGTTTTACAAAGTGCTTGTTTAGTACGTTGGTTCTTAACTGAGAACAGGAAAATGAACGAACAAAAGATCAATTTAAAGTTTTGTTTTAAGTTTGGCAAGACACCAAAAGAAACTTACGCGATGCTGGTAAGTGTTTAAGAAGATCAAGCACTGTTCATGAAGTGTATGTACGAGTGGTTCGCCCGTTTTCGAAAAGAAGGGAAAGCGTTTTTGACAGCCACTTTAGCGGAAGACTGGTGACCTCCGTCAGTGACGAAAACATTGAGAAAGTGAGGAAATTAATCACTGAATATCGTCAATTAATTGTGCGCATGATAGCTGATGAACTGCAGATTAACCGTAAACCGTTCGACAAATCGTTATCCAGAATTTAGGGATGAGAAAAACGTGATATTATCATAAACGATATTCCTAGCATCCAACGAAACTTGAAGAGGCTTCTAAACTCCATCCCAAAAGAAGACTTTTTACAAAGTTTCCAGGACATGTATAGCAGATCTCAGCTATGCATAGTTATGGGAGAAGACTATTTCGAAAGGCAGTAAGATAACTTTCGTTAATATTTCATCGACGTTAATGGTACAGCACTATTCATCGAACCTTATTGTCAGAGGTTGTAGTTTGTCAAAGGGTTCGCTGCCCTGTTGATTTTTATGTTAAAAACAAATGCTTATTTCATAAATGCATATTATTTAACATTTAAATAAGAGGTACAATGAATTTGATTGTAAGAAAGGATTTCAAAATTTTAAGCAAAAAATATTGAATAATATATGATGAAAACAATAAATCCTGTCATTAAACAGTTTTGATGTACCGTAAAGCTGTTACTCAGCAGGTTTATTTCTGTTGTTATCTTTGACAAGTGACTTCACTTGTTAATTTCCTTACTTTTTACATTTATGACCATAAATTAAGGATTATGCCAGCTCTGGGAAATAATGGTTCAGAAACAAAACAAATGGGACTTATTCAATATAAGCTTATTTATTAAACAAAAGATAAAGACCAAAAACGATGGCGTAAGTGTGATACCATTCATAAAAACAACGATTTTTGCTCTTAGAGCAATTACAAAAGATACTCTCTTTACAAAAACTTTATATTACACGGTTTGTATGATAATTAATACATTGTATGTCACCAATGTGATGAAATACAGCCCGTACAACACATAGGCATGCTGAGTATCAAACTATCAATCTGATCTTGAAGATTACTCTCCTCACAGCAAGCAATGCTCTCCGAAGTTCCAGTACACATGTAAGACGTGGTTGAAGGGCTGAAACTCGTTGGCCAAGCATGTGCCACACATGTTGTGCTGGATTCACGCCAGGTGAGAATTTCGGCCATTCTATTGGGGGTAATAAACGCAGATTGAAGGCATTCGCTTATGATGTTTACTTGGTGAAGATGGGCGTTTTCCTCCATAAACACAAATTCTGTGCTCATGGCACTCCTAAACAAAAGTAAATGTTGTTTCAGAATGATGTCCCTTTGAATTTGGCTGGTCATGATTCCGATTTGAGCATGCAGATCTATTCTGGAGACTAGTAAAAATTCCCCCAAACTCGAGCAATCTTACACCACAGTAGTCATGTAGTTCAATCATGTTGCGTTGGAGGTGACGGGTACCCGGTGTTCTCCATAAGAAAGTCTGACGGGAATCAGCCTACAAGCTAAACCTGGACTCGTCGGAAAATATCACACATGCCCACTGGGATGGTGTCTGCATTGCATGTTCTCTCTTAGATCAGCGTTTCTCAAACTGTGGATGCGCCCCCTAGGGGGCGTGATAACTCTACGAGGGGGGGGCACGAGCATATTGAAAAATCAAAAACAAAAGATTATTTTAAAAAGTTATTAATTTACTGAAAGTAAACAAACAAAATACATTCTGCCATAATAAAAAATAAAATATATATTTACACTAATATAATCCACTTATAAATGTATCAGTACTGCACAATGTATTTTATTATTAATTTAACAATACTATGTTACGAACAAGT